ATCCATCCTTCCTTCCTTCCTTCCTTCCTCCCTCCCTCCCTCCCTCCCTCCCTCCCTCTCTCCCTCTCTTACTCTCTCCCCTCGTTTCTCCCTTTCTTTCTTTTTAAAATGGTTTTTCAAGACACAATTTCTCTATGTAAGCAGTCCTGGAACTCACTTTATAGACCAGGCTGGCCTCGAACTCACAGAGATCTGCCTGCCTCTGCCTCCAAAGTACTGGGATTAGAGTGTTCTACTTGGACCAGGTTCAAATTCTTAAAAACTCTAGAGAAAGAGCCAGCAAAATGGCTCAGTGGGTAAAAGCACTTGGCATGAAGGCCAATGACCTGAGTTCAATCCCCAGAACCTTCCTGAATGGTAGGAGGAGAGAAACGACTTCTGGGAGTTGTCCTCTGATGGTCACATGCACTGTGATCCACTTGTACATTGCATACTCACACCACACACACACACACACACACACACACACACACACACAGACACACGGACACAGACACACACATACACACATACACTCACACACACATACAGACTGACACACAGACACACACATACACAGACTGACACACAGACACACACATACACACACACACATACACACACACACCACACATACAGAGACACACACAAGACACACACACACCACATACCCCCCACACACACAGACACACACACACCACACAGAGACACACACACACACACACACAAACACCACAAAGTAAATAATTTTTTTTTTTCGAGAGAGGGTTTCTCTGTGTAGCTTTGGAGCCTATCCTGGCACTCGCTCTGGAGACCAGGGTGGTCTCGAACTCATAGAGATCCACCTGCCTCTGCCTCCCGAGTGCTGGGATTGAAGGCGAGTGCCACCAATGCCCCGTCTACAAAGTAAACAATTTTTAAAAAGAAATAAGCATAATTCTAAGCCACAGAATTTCAGAGCAATTTGTTACACAGCAAGTGGATAGCTGAGACAAGCACTACACTCTCCTCCCACCAAACACAAGGAATAAAATAAAACACTCTGATTTTTTTTAACATTTATCGTGTGTGTGTGTGTGTGTGTGTGTGTGTGTGTGTGTGTGTGTGTGTGTGTATGCATGAACCAAACATGTTTCTCCTTCCACCATCTGGATCCTGGGGACTGAACTCCAGGGCTCACCAGCAAGTGCATTTACCCACCACACCATCTCTTGGGTCCCAAATACATCTTTATGTATGTATTTTGTGGTTTGTTTGTTTTCGTTTTGTTTTTGATACATGGTCTCTCTATGTAGCGTTGGGTGGCATGGAATTCAATATGCAGACCAGGGTGGCCTTGAACTCAGATATCTACTGCTTCTTCACTGCAAGTGCAGGGATTAAAAGGTGTGCATTATCACACCCAGCCTACCTTAAAAAAATAGATTTTTTAATTTTTATGTGTATGATAGTTTTGTCTGCATCTATGTAAGTGTTCCTTTCTTTCTTTCTTTCTTTGTTTCTTCTCTTTTGTTTTCTTTCTTTCTTTCTTTCTTTCTTTCTTTCTTTCTTTCTTTCTTTCTTTCTTTCTTGTTTTTTGGTTGTTGTTTTTGTTTTTTTGAGACAGGGTTTCTCTGTGTGTAGACCCAGCTGTCCTGGCACTTGCTCTGGAGCCCAGGCTGGCCTTGAACTCACAGAGATCCGCCTGCCTCTGTCTCCCGAGTGCTGGGATTAAAAGCATTGAAGAGTGCACCATCATCATACTTCTTTAAGATTCGAGGACCAGGTACAGTGGGGCCCAGGACATGTCCTCGGGGCATGCAGACTGAGGGAGAAAACCCCACCTGCTTGCCGTACTCACCGAATCCTTCAGTGCCAGAAAGCAGTGGCAGATCCAGCGGCGTGCTGGGCCATCACGGCATATGTAGGAGAAAGCCTTGTCCAGGTTTCGGTCAGGAGCGCAGAAGGAGACCTTCTCGATGGTCTGGTCTACTAGCAGGTCCTAGGAAGGGTTGAGGAGGCGGACATTGTAAATGACATGATGTCATCCTGAATCAAATGTCACGGAGAGAGCCATGGGCCAGCCTGTCCCCGGATCTTGATTCAGCCTGTCAGATCCACCTGAGATGGAGGAGACAGCCCAGAGGCACAGCCAGCCTGGCTATTAGGAGAAAGAATCCAGGGCTCCAGGAGCCAGGAAGTGCCATTTAACCCAGCCTAACCCAGCCGCCAGCAAAGCTTTCTGGAGGAAGAATTAATTAGTGAGAAGGCAGGGAACAGCATTCAGGCAAAGGAGCAGCCAATGCTAAGATGACTCAACACCCCCAGAATGCCCTGGGCACCAGGAGGCAAAGGGGAGCAAACAGATGCCCAGAGCCTGAGGCTCAGGTGATAGATCAATGACAGAGATGTTTGCCAAGCTGTGCAAGAACCTGCCTAATACACAGGAAACCCTAGGCCACATCCTAGCGTGGCAGGAACCAGGCACGGTGATGGACACCATCACCCCAGCACTTGGGAGGATTGTGAGAGGACCAGAAGTTCAAGGCCATCTTTGACAAAACTTGAGTTTGAGGCCAGCCAGGGTTATGCCAGACCCCTGTCTCAATTAAAACAAAAACTCCAAACATGTAACAACCCACATTTGTTGACATGCGAAGCATTTTTTTTTTATTATTTTTTTCTTAGCCGGGTGGTGGCGCACGCCTTTGATCCCAGCACTGGGGAGGCAGAGGCAGGGAGACCAGCCTGGTCTCCAGATCGAGTGCCAGGATAGGCTCCAAAGCTACACAGAAACCCTGTCTCAAAAAACCAAAAAGAAAAAAATTCTTTTCAGCACGAAGCCCAGGCTGGCCTTGGATTTGCAATCCCCCTGCCTCAACTTCCTTAGGGTTAGAAACACACACCAGTACCACCACACCCTAGATCCTGGCAGAAGTGTTTTTGGTCCCCGCCCCCATTTTCCATTGTGTGTGTGTGGGGTGCATGTGTGTGCACAAGCATATGGAGACTGGCAAGCACCCTCAGTCATTCATCTTCATCAAGACAGGGTCTCTTAATCAAACCCAGAGCTCACCGATTTGGCTAGTCTTGTTAGCTCAGGACATTTTCTGAGGTTGGAGTTAGAGGGGGGACACTAGCACTCAGGGGGGTTTCCTGCCGGCCCTATTTTCACACACAGGGACTTTCTGATTTGATGATAGGGTCTAT